CTAATGTCGGGGGTTTAAATGGAGAGAAAATGTTTTGAGAAACGATGTACAAATGCGCTTTACACAATTGATGTGTGTATGGATTGGGATTACAGTTGTATGAGCCCCTAATAAAATGTTAAAAAAAAAAAAAAAAGAAATGGAATGAAATCTCTCTTTTGTTTCTCTACTATGGTTCAGAAAAGTAATGCAACTTCCATGTAATGAACAATGCAATAAATAACTACAAATCTCCATTTTCGGTACTGCAAGCTTAAAATGCGTTGTCTCTGCTACATGTAATTCAAAGCATCATCTGTTTCATTGTTGCTGAACGTGAAATATCAAGAACTCAGTCTTTGAACTGTATTTTTTATGTAGGTCATAAAGACTAGCTCTACTTAATGTCTTTCTTTTATAGTGCTTTGTCCTGCCAATGAATTGCGACTAGATTCTACAGGAGTCATATTAAGCCCTGGGTATCCTGACAGTTACCCCAATCTTCAGATGTGTGCCTGGAGTATTTCAGTGGAAAAGGGCTATAACATCAGCATGTTTATAGAATTCTTCCAGACAGAAAAAGAATTTGATGTTCTTCAGGTGTATGATGGTAACTGTGGGTTATATTTACTGGATATTCATAGACTTAATCCAAATATTCTAATTATACATAGAAGCCTTCAGTATAAACTATTTATTTTTAATTTTTTGGATCTTATAGATATCTTATAAATATCAGACTTACCTATATAGTATATGAAAACTATGGTTTGCTCAGCTATCATTTATCATTTAACATATTGTAAATAATTTTCGCAAAAAAATAGTTTTAGCAAAAAATATCTAAGACAAACATTAAGGAGACCTGGTAGTAAAATAGTTATGAGTTCAATGGCTAACCAAAAGGCCAACAATTGAAACTCATCAGGCACACCATTAGAGAAAGTTTTGGTAGTCTGCTTCTATAAAGATTATAGTCATGGGAAATTGATAAGGTAGTTCGATTGTAACCTATCGGTTCATTAGGAGTAGGAGTGGAATTGAGAGCAATGGTTTGGGGCAAATGTATACATTATATCTCAAGTCAGTGCTGCAGGAGTGAGGCTACCACACCAGTGTTTTCCAAACTTTCATATCATTTGAGAGATATAAAGTAATCAAGGAGAATGATCATTAAAATACCCGTGTATATCTAACTTGTTTTATTTTTTTTGTCAAGGACCAAATATTCAAAGTCCAGTGCTTATATCTCTTAGTGGAGATTATTCATCTGCTTTTAATATCACAAGCAACGGTCATGAAGTATTTCTTCAGTGGTCAGCAGATCACGGCAATAACAAGAAAGGCTTCCGGATAAGATACATAGGTATGTGCTACCCATGACACGGATGCAAAGCTCGCCTGCCTTCTTCCTGTGTGTGAGTCTGACGAAAGAGCAGAGGCTCTATTCTGTTAGATATAAATCCAAATCTCAGCGTCTTCCGTGATGTTTCTTGGACAAATCATGTAACCTTTCTAAGCCTGTTTCTTAATGATAATGATAATAATTATACATCAATCCTCAGATAGCAAATTAATTTAAAATTCAATTCTGAAATAACTTTTAATAAAAATTTTCCCTAAGTGTGTTTACCTTGATCACTCAGAAAATGTTAACAGCATTGCTCAGCTCTGTATTATCTGAATTATTTAGTGTCCACTTTAAATGGTAAATCACACAAGTCAAAATTGACTCAATTTCAATGAATTTGGTTTTTTTTTTGAGGTTTTAAATGACAAATTAAAAAAACAAAACTTATTATGAATATGCTTTTGTGTGTGTATTTTTTACAAATATAATGGCATAGATTTCTGTTTCAATTATTATCTATCAATATGCTTTTATTTAATATATTGAACCTTGCATATTAAAATAATGGTGAATATATTATTTCAAAACTTTTCATTTGGAAAAAATGGATTATTAAATAATTGGTTTGATACTATTGTTTTTATTGGGTAATATTTAGAATATGTAGCATTAAACTTCTCTTTAACATCAAGATTAAATATCCCTTTCTGTATTTCTTTCTGTTTATAACCTCTACTGATATTCCGCTGACAATTTTCTGGTTGATGAAGTGTACTTAAGTGGATTTCATTGTGAGAAGGTTACATTCATAGTCCTGATTGCTGGTGTAAATCATGTTAGAGACCTGGAGCACATGCTGGACAGCAAAATGCTTCCGAGTCAATCAGCTCTCTCTTTCTTTAGAGTGTTCCGATCATGCCCCCAGGGTATTGCTCGCTGATAATCAGTTCAACTGAAAATTACTTTATGAATGTGCCTTATAGATCTCACGTAAAACACTTTTAGTCACAGTCTTAAATTACCAACTAAAGTTTTAAAAATAGTACTCTCAAATTATACACCTTATACAAGTTTTCAAACACATATATAATTATTTTGATTTTAAAACAATTATATGATATCTCATTTCAAAGTATTTATTAATAATGCATATAATGTGTCCTTACTACATATGTACATAGTAATATGTACACACATCTTGAACTACATTAGACTTTTCTTCATTTAAAAATTATTCTTGTTCAAAAGAAAAATGTATAGAAAAGTAAAATGAGCATATCAATCACATTTAAATTTTTTATTTTATCATATGAGCAATGTAATTGAACTTAATTTTATGGTTGCTATAACCAAAGAAAATACTTAAAGACAACACATCAAAATGTATTTTTTATTGTCACACTAAAAATTTTTAAAAATCATTCTAGGTAAATAATTATAAGTATTAAGTCGACTATGTACTATAAATTAACCTTTATTTATATTTATAACTCATGAAAGTTAGGTATACACATATAATAAAAACATGAGTTTTAGCCCTCAAGAACAGCTTGACATCTTGGATACATTTTTTTCTTTAGAAATGACAGGTTATGACATATTTATTCCAAGCCCAATCTATTTTTTACTATTTACTCTCCAAAACTTATTTTTCTCAAGAGAATGCACTGAAGTTTCAAAGGGTAAATGGAACCTGACAGACTGAATGGTTTCCAAAGTACATGTGTATGAAACAGTCCCTTGACATTATCTTTTAACATGTCAGACCTCCGAAGATGAAAAAAAAAAGTGATTTTATTGGCATTTTTTTATCACCATATATAAAGAAGTATCCTTGACAGGATGGAAACTGGCTAGCCATCTGCAAGGGAGGAACATGGAATGTGGGGTCCTGTTTCAGATATCAATTAGAATAAAATATATATAACCAAATATGTTACAAGTGTGGGAGCTAACTTTGAAGAGACATGTAAACACCATGCTCTAAAACTGAAACAGGATCAAGCCTGGCATATGGACCCTTCAAATGACAGAGAATGCCATTTTTAAAATTCAGTGCAATATTTGATTCTATAGGGTCTTAGAGGAAAATGGTATGGTTCACTTCCAAATATTTTAGATAAGACTGAAAATTAGAGAAAGGTTCTGAGATTAATTATGTCTTCTAACAGTCTCATAAGTTGGTCATTTTGAAACGTCATTAAAAACCAATATTAACTTTATATGAGCTAATGTTCAAATAACAGTTGATCCAGTATTAAGCCTAGTACTAACTCGCGGTGTATGTTATTTGATGGTTTGGTATGATAATGTTCTTTTGTGTTTTTCTTTGGGAAAGCCTTCTATTGTAGCACACCGGAATCTCCACCTCACGGATACATTATCAGTCAGACAGGTGGGCAGCTAAACAGCGTGGTCCGGTGGGCCTGTGATCGAGGATTCCGACTGGTTGGGAAAAGCAGCGCGGTGTGCAGGAAGTCCCCCTATGGCTATCATGTGTGGGATGCACCAGTTCCTGCCTGTCAAGGTGAAGTATATTACCAACAATGGATAAATACACTTATCAAAGCTTAGCACAAGGGGTCACTGTGTGTTAGAATCCACTCAATGGCAGGGGGGGTGCTTTAGTTTGTGGTTTAGAGGCAGTAAAGCCAGAGTGCCCTTTAGAAGCAGTGATAAGGTTTATTTTGGGCATGTTATCAAGAGCTGCTGGCCGCAGGAGAACATCGTGCCTGGTCACACACAGACTCAGAGGAGAGAGACAGACCCACATGAAGGTGAGCTCACTCTGCCTGTAAAATGGGTCTACATGTGTTCTATTGTGAGAATGGCCGAGAACCACACAGTGTTTTGTTCGGTTTATAAAATGGAGATAAGTTGGATCCAACTCAGCAAGCACCCAAAGACAATAACAAGTCTGTCATTCTGATCGCTAGCATTCACCAAACTATCCATATTCACAAGCACTTTGAGAACTTTCTCATGAAAGTAAGGCATAAGAAGACAGATGATAAATTTGAGGGCAAGAAAAGCTTTTATGCTTCTTTGTATTATACAATTTATGTGATTTAACTATTTACTGTTTCATAAGTACTGTAATCACACTCGTGCATCTGCCATTCTATTTTATTTTATTTTTACTATTGTTGTCCAAAAAAAAAAAAAAAAGTCGAACTAAGGATTGGTCTCGAGGAGCCTGGAGAGCCACCGGAGGGCAAGGAGGCTCAGGGGCGGTGAAGGCTGATGTTCTCGGAGGACGCAAACGTAGTCTCTCAGAGCAGCAGCCTGAAGAGAGAAAATACAGTGCGCAATCTGTTTGTTTGTTTGTTTTAATTTTCAGTGATTAAATGAACTCAAAAATATTTCTTTTCCTTTTATCTTTTCTTAAACATTGAGTAAGTGCCTGAGCACTGGATCCTACACCAAATAGAGAGGCAAACTTCTTTGTTAATGATTGCAGCAGTTTAGAGCTTTCTGACTTGGAATTTCTGTTGTTGTTATTTTAAGGTAACTGAGTCTCCTGTCTAGGTGGAATCCTAACAACAAGTTTAAATGTAATCACATAGGAATATCTAATATCTGGAAATAAGAAAGCTTTAAATATTTGGCTCATTAAATTATTATTCCAATAAAATATTAAGTTTGTAATTAATTAATTTTATTCAACAGATAGAGGGGCATATAATACTTGGAATCTTCACATTAGGAAAGGTGGAATAGTCCAAATAACAGGTTGTATCTATCAACTATTTATTGGAGGGAATTTACATAAAACAAATTCAATGTAAAGAAGAGCAATCAAAATATAAATTAAATAAAATTTAAATTAAAGTTACCAGAGAAGTAAATACTGCTAGTCACAAGAAATGAACTCCTTTTGCACATTAATTAGCAGTTTCTAATTCAGGAGAAGAAACCACTAAAAGATATGTGAAAATACATTCATGATGATACAAGTATTTTTCCTTATTCTCTTGATATCACCCACATAAATTATTTATTATTTATTAGATGTCTGGGATGCGTAATAGATAGAGTGAATTACCAATTCGTAGAGTGTTGATGCAATCCAGAATGGTTACATTTCAATAATGAAAACATTGGATTCACTTTGACCAGTGAATAGCTGCAGCATTTACCATGAGTTAATATTAAATAATATCCTAGGACTACTTTGAAAAAGAATCTCTGATCTCAAAATTTCAGAATGAGGATTTAAAAATGTATAATATTTTAACTATGGATTTAAAAAACATTGATGCTTTAAACTTTGAAAATGTGTATTTTAGTCATTAGAAGATAGTTTTTCATAAAGAAATAATCTGCGAGAAACTTTGTTTTTTTAATTGCCAGTTATAGATACCTTGACATTTGTTCACATTATAAAACTGTGTAATCAGTCATTCCAATGCCCATTCTTTAGAGTGGCCCTTTAAAAAATCTTACACAGACATCATCTGAAGTTACCAAAAGTTGTCAAAACAGAGACACACATTCAAGTATGAAATATTTCAAATTAGCAGCAGATAATGAAAAGTTAGACATTACTGTACATCACTGTTTTATAAAAGCAGTGTATGTTCATTGCTTCCATCACACACACAGAGAAAGTAAGAAAGCTCAACTGTTTGCAGAGGCATGTGAAGGTGAGAGCTTTTTAAATATGAAAAGGCTTTAGAAAGAGACACCAACACTTAGCATTTGTGTTTTAAGTGAGCATAGAAGGAACTCTGGGTTTTTCAAAATTCCGTGATCCCAGTTATTTGCGTTAGAAACTCATAATCTTTGATAAGCTAAGGATTTCTTAAAGAAACTCGTCCGTCTCACAGGACCAAAACAGATCCGTGTGGCTACTGTCTTTTAGATGAACATGACAATGGCTCAGTGGTAACGTGACATGCATACAAACATGTGCCTCTTCTGACCTTTGCCCCTGGAAGCAAGGAGTTAGTCACTTTTGAGTAAGGATAGGAATTATCCATTCTAAATCCTGCACCCACCTTTAAATCCTACCTACCGTCCATGCTGCTCCCTCCCCCCAACACACATACACACACACACACACACACACACACACACACACACACACACAGTCATAAGTAAATGCAAGGAAGGAAGACAATGGGAGGAAAGCTGAAATGGTCTATCACAAAACCACTGTGCTCTGTAAAAGATTTCCAAAGATATTAAATAAAAAGCAGATTGCATTCAACTGTAACTTAGGGTTCAGAGCTATTAATTTCAGGTAGGCTGAAGATGAGGTTTTAGTGCATATGATTCTTACAATAACAGACGTTTGAAGAGAGATGCTACAGGTTTTATAAAATAAAAGCACATGCATTTAACAATGGCAGAGGGGAAAATGACTGGCCTTTCTACATGGGGGCTCTGTCTGTGTCTGTGGAAGGGATCAGGATTCAGCGCACCCTGGTTCATGTCTCCCCAAATTCTTAAGCACAAGAACTCACAGCTCCCAACTTACCCAAATCCTTCCCAGCAGGTCCAGAACTCTAGTGCCCTTCAGGGCATCCAGCAGACCAAAGACAAACCCTGGCTCCTAGTCTGGATCGGGCCGGGTTCTCTGGACCTCTGGACCCCAGTGACTAGACAGTGAACCATGGCTTGTGGACACCCAGCCCTCAAAGGCAGCCTTGCCAGAGTAGGGAGGCTGCAGCAACTGCTGGGAGGCAAAGACGTTGTGGCTGCCAGCCTGTGACAGCGCACATCTCTGAAAGCTCATTATCCACCCTCCTAGATCTGCTCAGCCACACTGTCAGCAATGGCCTTCTCTCTCTTTCTGACTGCTACCAGAGAGCTGAAATTTCACAACAATGAAATTTCCTAGTTCCTGATCTTCCAGTGCTTTATAATTGTTCTTGTTAGATGCCATCAAGTCGTTTCCAACTCAGCAATCTTACGTACAACGGAAGAAAACTCTGCCCAGCCTTGTGCCATCCTCACCGTTACTCTTGTTTGAGCCCATTGTTGCGGTCACCATGTCAAACTATCCTGTTGATTTTCTTGCTCTTGTTTGATGCCCTTCCACTAAGTACAATTTCCTTCTCCGGAGATTGGTCTCTCTGGATAGTAGGTCCACAGTACATGAGGTGAAGTCTTGCCATCCTAAGGGCAGCTTTATTTGTTCTTGCACAGTCTATGGCACTTTGAATGTTCTTGACCAGCCCCGTAATTTAAATGCATAGAGTCTTCTTTGGGATTCCTTATTCAATGTACCGTTTTCACTTGGATATGAGACAATTGAAGATACCCTGGGTTGGGTCACTTTAGTCCTCAAAGTAATGTTCTTCCTTTTCAACACCTTTAAGAAGTCTTGTGCCGCAGATTTACTGACTGTAATGTGGTGTTTGATCTCTTAAGTGCTGCTTCCGTGATCATTGATTGTGGATCCAAGCAAGGTAAAATTGCTGACCGTTTCAATCTTTGCTCCATTTATCCTAGTGTTACCTCTTCGTCCAGAGGTGAGGATTCGGGTTTTCTTTACATTGAGTTTTAATCAATCCTGAAGGCAGCAATCCTTGATATTCATTGACAAGTGCTTCAGGGCCTCGTCCAAATTCCTCCCCCATCCTGTTTTGAAAGGCTTCTGATCTCAGCGCTCTTCTGGCATGATCTCTGGCCATGTTCTGCAGCTATTCAAGGGTGTTTCATTGCTTTCATCCATGACCTGTGCACCGGCTACTCCTCTGACATGGACAGCCTGCGCCTTCTCCATCGTCTGGCCTTAGTCTGAAAGCTCTGCTGAAACGTTTTCACTTTGAGGGACCCTGCTGGCATTTGAAATACCAGTGACATAGGTTTCAACATCACAGGAATACATAAGCCACTGCAGTATGAGAAACTGATAGTGTTGGTTTTATAATTGGAACATGCAAATTGAAATTCAGTTACAAGAAATGATATTGAGAATAATAAAATGATAATCATATACTCATATATATATATTTCAAGTAGTCATTTAAAAATTAATCTTTTATTATCATTTAAGTAGAGTTGTCAGAGATTAATTCATTTATGAATGATGCCTTGAATGTTACCTATGTGTTTTAATGTAAGTAATTAAAATGAAATTGATTCAAGTTCATTGGGAAAAATGATGTATTTACTATGGTAAACTTTCATCTTGTTGTAAATTAAACATTCTTGATTCATTTTTATCATCTTATTTCTTAGCTCTCCTACATCTTTACATGTATTTATTTCCGTTACTTTTACTCTTTATGAGCACCACTAGGAGAAAATTTAATCAACTATATTTGGCATTAGTTAGATGTTTTTGATTTTTCACCCTCAACAGCAAGCAACCTATTTCACTGATTTTTGCTCCATCAAAAGTTTAACTGCTTCAATTCCAACATATACGTTAGTATTGGGTAATGTTACATAGAAATAACTATCTTGTATTTTCTCCCTCAGTTTTAATTTATGCTTTCCTGAGATTTCTATAGTGATTTCTCTGACAACCACTCTGATGAAGGTCTTTTTGAACTCAATTTGATTTCCTTCTAGCTGGAAAACTAATGTGTAATAATCAATCACAGACACAGTTTTGTCCTATCATTTTAATATGTTTTTTAATATTTTAATTAAAAATATAACTACCCTATATTACACACAAATAAACTTGTATGACTAATTCTAGCTAATAAAACTCAGGGACACACTGGTTAAATACTAAGTTGCGAACCAAATGGTCAGTGGTGCGAATGCACCAGTAGCTCCACAAAAGCCTATTGACTTACTCCCATAAAAAACCCTGTGGACAAATTGTCTTCTTGCACATTGATGCATTATAAGGTGAAATTGACTCAATGGGATGCAACAATGACACTATCTAAAACACATATCTCATTCTATATATATTCAGTGTGCAATGTAACCAATAATGTATAGGTAATTTTAAAAAGTAGTTCAGTACTTACACAATCTTGGGTAGGTAGATGCTTCATTACAAAGTGAAATCCCCAAAACTCTCAAGTGGGAAATTACTGTTTTAATAAACATTAAGGAACCATTTAGTTTTGAAACAATATTCAGAGGTTTTTAATTAGGGAGCAGAGGTGTAATAATTGTGTGAGATGGTTTATATAAGTTACTAATTTAGTGTTACTGCTTTTCTGTTCATGATTATAAGGCTACCAAATCACAAAAGATTAAATAATTCAGTCCTAGGGATTTCTTGATTCAATTTTGAATTTCATGTCGATTTGTAGATTTCACGAGAGTCCTCAGTGTCTGGTCAATGCTCAAGAATTAATGAAAGTTAAACACCCAAACAGTTAGGTTTATAAAAAATATATAAAGAATTCTGAGTTGGACTTAGAGATGGGTGATTGGAGCACAGCATTTATAATACTCAAACTAAATTCAAATATGTTTTTTTCTGTGTATTTTTAATGCGATAACAATATAATTACAAAACAATGAATGACTTATGCAATTTAAAAAAACATATTTTAGAAATATTTTTTCAGGCGTTACAAACGTGTTGTGGTGCACTAGCCAGATAGTAGGTAATAAACTCTAACTAGGTCATGGCCAGAACCCTCATTTAAATACTTTTTTTTACCCTAGAAATCTATACAACTGTTTGAATTAAGTATATAAATATACAAATAATCTCCCTTTGGTGTTTTAAAACTAAACAAATTTTTCAAAAGCTTGGCAGGGTGGTGATGGGCAGAAATACAAATTATTTAACCATAGGATAGATATGACAATCAATGGATTTTATGATATTATGAAAAGGGAATTGTTGATAGTCATTTGAATTGATAAAATATGAAAATATCTTATAGATAATGAACAATTGAAAATTAATTTTACTATTGTGATAATATTATATTCAAACTAATTTACCCAATTCAGATTTACTATAGCTAGAAATCAAGATATATAAAATATATGAATGACAGTTACAAGACCTTCAGTAAACAAGGCTACACACATGTTCCTTGAGGTATGGCACATAAACGCACACATTTTGGTTGTTCAGAACATAAAGAAATAAGAGAGCCACCAGACAAAGCCACCATTTGCCTGCCAGGTAAAACAAATCTATGTGACAGTAAATAATCATGTACATTACAGATAAACACTGAGATACCAAGAGATAAAATATTAATAATGAAAGGGCTCTCCAGTCTACAAATACATTTGATAATGGTTTAAAATAAATAGTAAGTTATCATTCAAAACTATATTTGTAGGGATTATGTAAATATTACAATATTGTATTAGAGGAAATTATAAAATCATAAATATTTTATACTATAGTATATAATGTGTATCTAGTGCTTATATAAAACATCTGTTTCTATAATTACATATGTATATATTTATTCTAGCAATTTCTTGCGGGATTCCTAAAGCTCCAACAAATGGAGGGATCCTCACAACAGACTACTTGGTAGGAACCCGAGTTACCTATTTTTGTAATGATGGATATAGACTATCATCCAAAGAACTTACCACTGCCATATGTCAGTCAGATGGAACATGGAGCAATCATAACAAGACCCCACGCTGCGTTGGTATGTGTGTTAAGGAAAGCATTGCATTTTGCTTTGATAGGCATCTTTTAGAATTTGAAAAGTTATGTATTATTAAATTTTAAAACTAGTATCTGAAACAATGTGAGATTTCTAAGAGGTTTATAAGGTTTAATTGTCTTGAACTATCAAAACACCATAAGGCCATGTAAGGGCTTTTAATTCATTAATAGAAACACTAGAGTGTTTTTGTAAAAAATTATATATATATATGTGTGTGTGTGTGTGTGTGTGTGTGTGTGTGTATGTGTGTGTGTGTGTGAATATGCATGTGTATATAACCAGTGTGTGAATACGTTTTATTTTAAAGGCATAATTTTTGTAAAAAAATGATCAAATAAATCTATCAGCCTAGAATTTTAATACATAGGACATCAAAATTCCTTATAAGTTTCCTTGAAGTATATTTAATGCATTGAGTTCTATCTTTGGGGAGGGTAAATGATGACATTGAGATGGTCCATATCATCGGACCTCTGTCGGTATTCTTTAGGTCACTTATCTAGAGAGTATGTACGAATGCGAGATTGACTCCTTTGCTCATATTATAGAATAGTCATTGAGAGGGAGGAGCCCTGATGGTGTAACGGGTTACACATTGTGCTGCTTACTGAGTGGTTAATAGTTTGAAACCATCAGCCACTCCATAAAGGAAAGATGAGGCTTTCTACTCCCATAAAGAGTTACAGTCTTGAAAACACACAGGAGCAGTTCTATCTAGTCCTCTAGGCTTGGCATGAGTCATAATTAATCCAATGGCAGGGAGTGGTGTTTTTGTTTTTAATGAAAAAAAAAGTAGTTCTTATAGGTTGTTTAATAATTAAGTCATTGAAAATGTTGTATTTAATTTAGGCCTTTGATTTTCTCTATACTTTTAAATATTTCTTCAAATTTAGATTTAGCTTTTAAACTTCACTATAATGTCACTTAATATGGGGCTTCTTAAATTATTTGCAGCCCTTACACAAGTGTCTGGAAATATATCTACCTAAATTAAACTGTTTTTTAACAGCTACCAAAAAAGCCATTCATATCTAATAATTTTTCTCACAGTATATTCCTTCCAAATCTTCCAAAGAAATAAGAGAGTAAACACTAATCAGTGATAAGGAGGGGAGATAGGGAGAATAATGTAAGCAAAGTTTCCAAAGTATGAAGCAGCAGGACATAGTGAAAGAATTGCTGGGACTAGCATGCAGGTGGGGCAGCATAAAAGAGAGAAAAAAATAGATGCTGAAGCATATAGTATGGACCAGTGATGAATGAATTCAAGATATAAAGCAAAAATATAAGTAAAAAGTATTTAAGAATGAGCACTAATATGATTGACTGATTAGCATTTATGTTTTTTGGTCTTTGTTTAGTGGTTACATGTCCAAGCATCAATTCCTTCACGTTGGAACATGGAAGATGGCGAATTGTGAATGGTTCCCATTATGAATACAAAACCAAGGTTGTTTTCAGCTGTGACCCTGGTTACCATGGAGTAGGCCCGGCTTCTATTGAATGCCTTCCCAATGGTACCTGGAGTTGGAGAAATGAAAGACCCTATTGCCAAAGTAAGTAGATATGCTGCTAAACATATTGTATATGCTAGCTTTAGTGATTGAATTGTCTATGAATAGAGAAAATGATTAAATATAATTATCAAATGGTCATTTATTTTAATTACCTTTTAAAAATGTTCCAACTGTTCTTGCGTTGGTAAGTCTTATGAATATAGGATGAACTTAGAAGTTAAGGAGTCTTGTATTTCGAGTCTATCTCTATCCTTTAATATAACTACAAGCTATGCAACTTAGTATTTTCCAAGCCCTAATTTCAGCCTTATCATAGGTATTATTTCATTGATTTGTTACTTACAAGTCAATAAATTACTTGATGTTACTTTACTCATTCTATAGAAAAGGAAACTAAGATCCAGATTTACAAATATTTCCCAAATCACAGAGATTATAGATGATGAAATGGGATTCTACCTGAAAAGTCTGACTTAACCCTCGGCTTTAATCACTGTCTGAAGTGTATCTCTCTAATCCCAGATTCTCTTAACCTATAAATCTACGAGGATGATAGCCAAATCTATCTCATAGACTTATTATGATGATAAGTGATAATGATGTATTGGAAAATACCACCTACCTTCTGACCATCAAATATGTGTTGAGCCAAATTTAACATAATAAGTCACCTTATTTCCATACAGTTACAGTATTGATGTATATTATCTATTATAGAAAAACAAATTGAACATATGATGCAATCCTTTCAATTTTCATCAGTGAGATTTTGATATTTATTCCATGCATGCTTTGTGCCAGGAACTATTTTAAATCTTAAATTCAGTTTTTCAATTCATGTTCTTGTGTAGCACAACAACCACAATTTATAAGTAAATTCATAAAATCAGCAAAATTCTAAGCAGCATTTTGATGATTAAGCAGTTTAACATGGCATACAATTGTCTTATATGTAAGTACATACGCTTTTATTTATAAATATCACAATATATTTTCTTGATCTCCATATGAGCATAGAATTTTGTAGTGTAATTGTTTTTTAAGAGAAACATATGGAGTCTAGATTCTAAATACCTAAATTATATTAGATCTTCTAAAATCTCCCCTCGGTTACAGAGTTTTGCCAACTCTTCTGGGTTTTCTCTCATGCCTTTTCTCTTCTTCTGACACATTTACTCTCATACTAAAATTTAATTTAAATATGCATACTTAAAAGGGGTATTTCAAGGAGCTAGGAAGAAATTGCTCATTTAATAATTTGTTGAACAAATGTTTGTCTGATTCCTCTGTGCTAGGTCCTGTGTTATGTAGTAAAATGTAAAAGTTATACAAGAACAAATTTCTGCTCGAAGATAAGTAAGTGTTCTATCATAGACAACGTTCTCTAGTTTTGAATTTAGGTTCTCATAGTCCATTGCAATGACCACACAGAGCTCCCAGACTGTGCTCACGATTATAGGTTTATGTGGTAGTGAGCAGAATAGGACGGCTCATAGAGGCCAAAGGATATACCACTCTGCTGTTCAGTCTAACTCAAAGGCACTCAGCTCTAGTTCCATGGTTCAGCAAACCTAACTTCCCCCAATTAAGTATCCGCATGCATCCTACTCCACAAGCCAGGCTCCTGCCCAAAGGACTCAACTTTACTTGCTCTGTAGGTTGGAAAGTCCACTAAATTGTCTCATCCTCTAGGTGCTGCCTCTGCTGTTGTTGCTTCTCATCTGCCATTCTTCTACAGTCACAGCGTCTTCTAGACCAAGGAGGCTCACTGCACAGGGCCTCTGGGTCAAAAGATCCACTCCTTTCCTGCGTCTTGCTGGTAGTGAGATCTCCCTCCTACTTCTCAGAAGGCTCATTTTATAGGCAGCAGAATAGCGATCACAACAAATCCTATGAACAAAAACGCATAATTAAATCCTATCAGTATTTTCCCAATCTTTTTTAACCCAGGCTCATGAGAAATAAGAGGTTTTGCTGGGAATTACAGAGACTATACCCAGAGGAGCCATATTAAAAAATCTGCTGCAGTACAAGAAAAGATGATCGACAAGGACTCTACAAATTGTAACTAATTGATAAACTAGAAGGAATAATAATGTATCCGATCCTCCATTAACTCATCCTCTAGATAAAAAATACTTTATATCCACTATATCAAAGTTATCTCACAGATTGCTTTGAGGATTAACTCAAAACAATTAGTTTCACTTAAATATTCATATACAGCATTTTAGAGTTTGCATATTATATGTTTTTATATGAAATGGGAACTTTCGTAGGGAATTATGGTTTGGGCAGCGAACTACAATGTCAAGAGTTCAAATCTGCCAGGAGTTCCAGGCGGATTTGTAAGGATTTTCCCTCTTCAGAAACCTCAAGGAACAGGGATGCTCTGTCCTACAGGGGCACTACGAGCCAGAATAGGCTCAATGGCAATGAGTTTATTTTTTATTTTTTCCCCCCCTAAAAGCATGGAGCTGCAATCAGAATATAACACAATGGTTTGATGGTTAAGTATACTGATGGATTCTGGAATTGTACTACTGAAATTAAACTTCACATTCTGTATAACATTATTAAGATGTGTTATTCGTACTTCCTGATAGAGATGTTTTGAAAATTGCATTAGGAAATGCACTAGGGAGTGTTCCTGCTGCAGAGTAAGCGCTGGGTGACAATCAAGTATTATTTTTATTAAGTAGCCTTAAGATTTTGAAAGATGGGCTCTGACACATAACAAGCCAATTAAACTCTTCTCAATGTTTAAAAATCTACAAGTAACAGGGTAACTATATGGATCCTTTGAGGATATATGCTATTGTATATACATTATTCTTTTCTGGACTGCAGAGTTGTCAGTGTAAGTTAATTGAAATTACTGGCTTAGAGTTGTTATAGACATGAAAAACTTTTCTCAGGTAAGCCGGATAGTTTTCCCAATGAACCCTGATAAAATGAAGAACACCTGGGCCGAAGGGAAATTCCCTCATCTCGTCTTACGACTTTTCCCTCCCGTTCACTAAACCCACTGAGGGAGCAGGGTGACCACACATGAATTGCAGAGGAAATGCCTTTATCAAATATCATTGTCATGTAAGAGGTTACATGATAATTCATGGTGGATAACTTTGCAGGACTTCATCTCTTTCCTCTATACTTTCATGTCCATTTACATGGGTTAAGAAATATTTTCTAATGTAAACATATCAGGCTATATTGAACTCCAACCTTTAATCATATATTTGTTAGATGTGCATCTATTTTTGTGGTTTTAAGGAGTTTTGCTTTATTATTTTTAAGTTATTTCCTGTGGAGAACTGCCTACACCAACAAATGGAAATAAGATTGGAACTCAAACTTCTTACGGCTCAACAGCTATCTTTACCTGTGATTCGGGCTTCATGCTTGTGGGCTCAGCCGTCCGAGAATGCCTTTCCTCGGGGCTCTGGAGTGGATCGGAAACCAGATGCCTAGGTACCGATTGTGAAACCATTCTTAGCAAACTGGAAGCTTTCTTTAATATGCTATGGTGATCAATTGTGTATACTCGGAACGGCTACCTCAAAAGGGAAATATCTCATTTTTAAAATGGCTGTGGTCGAAAAGCTATTAAACATATAATCCTTAAACTTAATCATCTAATGTTTCTAATGAGAATCTTATATCATTAAGAAGAGAAATATTTTTTTATAGGCATGGTGAAAGTAAAAAGGTGAAAACTAATTGCTGAAAATTACATGTCTACATATGCAGCTGGATTAATCACTGTAGCAGTTAATTCATTTGAAACCTTAGTCACATTTCCTCTCACCTATTTCCTTCAGGTCATGCCAGAAGAAAAAAATCAATTTCACCTTTCAACATTGTCTCCCATTTTATTTCATTAGATTTTGACACGATAAAATACTTCCTATTAAAACTTTATAAAATATTTTGAGGCCTAGTGTTAAGTAAATAGCATTTCCCCCCACAGGACTCTCTGAGTTCATCGTACTCGCCCTCACAAACTTGGCGGTTGTTCTGGCTGGGGCCATCACGTCAGCCCTGATTCGCAGTGATCCTCTGCACCCCAGAGAGCAGCGCTGGCAGGCCCGGCCATCCTCACACGTGTGATTGGGTTGTGGCCATCTGGGGACTTTCCTTCTCATTGAAAGTCTTTCTTTCTGGGGGCTGCCCTTCCACTTTACCAAACATGATGTCCTTTCTCGTTGACTTGTCTCTCCTGATAACATGGCCAAAGGGCATGAAATGAAGTCTTGCCATCCTTACGTCTAAGGAGCATTATGATGGTACTGCTTTCAAGAGAGACTAGTTTGTTCCTTTGGCAGTTTATAGTATTTTCAATACTTTTCTGCAGCATCATCATTCAAGGCATCGAGTCTTCTTCAGTCATTCTTATTCACTGCCCAAATTCCACAGGAACACAAGGTGATTAAGAATACCATGGCTTGGGTCCAAGGCAGCTTAGTCCTCAAAGTAACATCCTTACATTTTAACGCTTGAAGGAAATCTTGTGCAGCAGATTTACTGAGTGCAATGTATCAGGTAAATTCAATAGTAGCCCTAAAGTTAAGGGACTCATATAATTTATGCTTAATTTAAAAAAAATGATTTCAAGATATCACATCAAGCATTGAATTTCATAAGGAGCCTTGATGGTTCAGTGGCAATAACGTGATTATATGTGAGAATGATGTGGCAGTCTCCTTCATGAAATATTCCAAGTGTAAAAATTCTACGACGCAGTTCTCTGCCCAGTGCAGTCTCTCTCGAGAGTCCTGATGGTGCCGTGGTCAGCATTCAAAATAGCAACCAAAAGACTGACAGGCCAAACTCACCGGCTGCTTTGCAGGAGAAAGATGATATGATCTTGCTCCTGCTAAGATTGGCATCCCCAGAAACTCTATATAGGGTTGGTAGGAGTTGGAATTAATTCGTTGGCAGTGAGTATAATTTTGGTGTGTGTGTGTGCGTGTGTGTGTGTGTGTGTGTGTGTGTGTGTGTGTATGAGTAATGAGAAGTTTGAAAATATTCATCAAAATAGAATTTCTATATAAGATTTCAAAGAATACACCTAGAAGTTTGGGTTAGAATTCTCCCTACCCCCACCCCTGCCTCTGTCTCCCAGGCATGTTTGTTAATAGGTATATTTGGAATCCCAGTAGTAATAGTTTCCTCGTACAAGCATACATATAAGGATATATGATGATATGATTTGACTGAAAAGGTAAAACATATCTAACAGCTTAACATTAGTATATAATTAAACAATAAATGAAACATATTAATAATTACTCAACTGATTTTGGTTGTGCTTACTTCAATTATATGTTGCTTTGTTTATTTATTTTGAAATATATATAAACTAAATTTCAATTGCTATATTTATGGTTATATACCTTGATGAGCTGTTATTATATACATCATATTATTTATTGAGTATTTTATATACAGGATTACAACCAGCAGTTTTTCATATTTATTCCTTCACATTTATCTTTCCAGTTCTCTATCAATTCATTATATATGTACACATTTATAGGCAAGTACACTTAACTCTAGACCCTCAGAATGCGTATCGCTAGTTAGAATTCAGTATTCATATACAGCTATTTAATCCTTTTGTGTGTGTAAACAATGTGTACAGCCACAGGCATACATCACAAGTACACTGTTGAATGAGTGTGGATAAATGTATGTTAGAATAAATCAAAATGTATTACTACACAATCGTAGAAACCTTTGCTACACAAAAATATCAAAATGGCAAGCGTTTGTTCCACGATGGGATGGCCATGCCCATACCCTTCTGAAGTGCTGTTTCCATCTGACACTTCCCTGAACGACTGTGCACTCTGCATTTTACATCAAGCCTCAAGAGTCCTCGACATCCGGGAGGGCTCATATCTTGTTGGGGTTTTTTGTTTGTTTGTTTGTTTGTTTTTGAATGTTGTTCGAGGTTGGGAAACAAAAGCAAGTCTTAAGGGGTTGGACTAGGGCTAGGGAATGACTGGGGTAAAGATTCCCAGGGAAATTCTCAGGGGACAGCTATTGCTACTCTAGAAGAATACAAACAATTCCTTGGCACAGGTGTTCTGTCCTTTTTCTGATCATTTCCAGTTTTGTTTTGTTTTTTTAAACAGCATCATAAGCGAAGCTGTGATGGATCTGGGGAGAGCTTTTGAAGCAATCTATCAACATGACTCCTTTGGAGTCTCAAAACAAGCCCAATAGCCATAACATTCCGGGACAGACTCTGTTTCTTGAAATGCACTGACCCCGCAGATCCCTTTGGATGTCACTGTTTTGACTGGATTTCTGTTTGTCTTTTTGTTTGAAACCACGCTGAGAGTAAGACAAGTACCTGATGGAGACAATTTGGTTGCAGTGGTCTACACATTGCAGACATGTTCCAACGTGATTTGTTTGGAAGAAACCCATGCATGTATGAACTGGCATACTCAGTACTGCTCTCCTACCCTTATATACCTGATAATACCTGTATGCCATCTGTCAGGTTGCAGTACTGCGGTGACTTACATGTTGCTAGAATTACTATATAGACGAAACTTCACGTGAAAGGGACTGAAAGTTGCTCTTGAACACAGAGTAACTAAAGCAAATGGGAGAAAATGATGAAGTAAAAGAAATGCGTAGAAGATTTCAAAGGGCAGCAGAGAAAGACGGAGTGTTATAATGAAATGTGCACAGATTTCGATTTAGAACACCAAAGGGAAAAACACTCTCAACATTTCTCATGCTCAAAGAACTGGAGAGAAAAAAGAAGTCTGGCATGGTAATGGTGAAGGATTTTATGGGCAAAAAGTGAACGATGCAGAAAGAATCAAAAGAAGGTAAAAGGAATACACACTGCACTCCCAAAAAGAAAGATTAATATTCAACTATGTAAGAAGGTAACATGATCACATCTCATTGTATTGAAGAAAGAAGTGCACGGTGCACTGGAACCACTGGTTATAAACAAAGCTGCAGGAATTAAGGGAATAGCAATTGAAATAGTTCACAAACTGATTCAGAATTGGAAATGCTAACACTTCAATGCTAGCAGTTTTGGAAGACAGTTACTCAGGCAACCTGTAGGAAGCAATCTGTATTGGTGCCCATTACAAATGTGAAAATTGCCAAATGATATCTTTGATAAAACATGCAGTTAAAATTTTTCTGAAGATTGTGCTAGAATAGTTTCAGCAGGATATTGCCAAGGAACAGCCAAAAACTTAAGCGGGATGTAAAATAGGAATTGGAATGAAGGTTGTCATTGCTGTAATTTGGTGGGTCTTGACTGAAAACAGAGAATGCCAGCGAGAGGTTTATTTGTGTTTCATTGGCTATGCAAAGGTACTCAGTTGTATGAATCATAACAAAGTGTGGATGACATTACAAACCCTTGAAATTCCCACATAGTCGTGCACCTGTGGAAGTTGTCCATAGCCCAAGAGGTAGTCATTGAACACAAAAGGGGATACTGAATTTAAATTCACAAAGGCTTGCATAAATCTATCTACTGAGAAAAATACTACAAGTTCAGCTATTTGAATAAGAATGTGACATGGGGATTGGGGAAATTCATTCGTGAGCTGCAATATGACATGAATTTGCTTGTTTGAAGTAATGAGGACTCGAGGCACTAACGAGTGAATATCAAAGACTGCAGCTTCCAATGTAGATTACAACTCAACGTGAAATAAAGAAAAAATCGTTTTAAATGGACCAATAAATAATTTGATAAACTGAGAAAAGACCAAAGTTGTTTGCTTGAATTGGCAATTAACATTCATGGACTCAGAAGTTAACAAAAAACAAGGTATTGCATTGGAAAAACCTGCTGCAGAAAATATCTTTGAAATATTAAATAGCGAAGATGTTGCTCAGATGTGCCTGGCCCAAGCCAGGGTAGGTGCTTTCACTCACAGCACGTGCAAAGAGTGACTACAGAAGGGGGAAGAAGAATTGATGCCTTGGAATTATGGTATTGGTGAGAATTGTAATTCACCGATTTCAAATTTTCAAATTTCACCAAATTCAAATTTACTTTGAAGAACTGACCATGCTGCTTGGAAACCAAGATGGTGAGATTTATCTAGTGCAGTTTGGTTATGCAATCAGTAGAGACCCGAAGGATGTCCGGCTTGGTAAAGAAGAGGGCCAATGGAAAATAGAATGAATATCAATAAAATGGATCGGCACAGGGTCTGCACCAAACATGAGCACTGCGGAGAGCCATGCAGTGCCTTGCTTTGTTGTGCATACAGTCGCTTTGGGTCAGAACCCACCTGATGGCACCCCAAAACAACAAGGAAGATCCGTTAATATGACTACACCTCAAAATTATTTACCAACCACTGATTCCAACATTAAATAAATGGAAGAATTTTGCCAACTTTTTCAATATAAAATTGATCGTTCAGTTGAGATGCATTGACTGCAAGTAGGAAGAAGATCACAGCTTCAGAATCAGAGGAAATCTCCTTACAAATCTGTGATGTGCCGAAAGGACCCAGGTCTTGCTGAAAGTGAAGCAGACCGGAAGCACTTGCTGATAAAAATAAAAGATTGCAGCTTCTAGTTTACATTTTACCTCAAGATAGAGAAAACAAACAAACAAACAAATCTTCACACATGCACCATTAAGCAACGACGTGGTAAACAGAGAAAATACAGAAGTTGTCAAGGATTTTATTTTACTTCTCTCCACAATCAATGCCCACTGAAGCAATTGTCAAGGAACGAAAACGCAGATCACAGTGGACAAATATGCATATTTCAAGATCGTTCAGATCTTGAAAAGTAACAATGCCACCTGGGAGAGTAAAATAAGCCTGACCCAGGCCATGATGTTTTCAGTGGTGACTGCCGGAGGATGACCAAGGAGATTTGATGCCTCTGAATTGTGGTATTGGTGAGCAATAGACCCCATACATTAGATTTCAAGAAGAAAGAACAGATCTGTGTGAGAAGAAGTCGTCAGAATGCCCCAAGAAGAGACTCGGCAAAAATAAAAGAAGAGATTTGGCCTCCCTTACTTTGGAAATATTGTCAAGAGGAACCAGTGCCGAGCATGCGTGGAGAAGCAGAGCTCAGCAACACCAGAGGGAGACGGCAATGAAATGGATGTTCTCGATGGTGGAACCAGTGGCTCCAACATCGTGATGAGTGGGAGGAGGGCGCAGGGTAGGGCAAGGTTTATTCTGTTCCTGAGTTGGAACGTATCCGTTGGCATCCAACAGAAATTATGCACTGTTGTAATACAGACCTCTATCAATATAGAGTACTGACATGACTTCAAAAAATTAATTCATAATTGTTCACACTCCACTATTCCCTTTCCCTTCCCCTGAGGCAATGATGATCTTTTTAATTTTTCACCATAGATTCATTTTTCACTTTCAAGAACGACATAAGAATGAGATAGTAACAGAGATGCCTTTGGTATGATTTCCTTTAGTCTTCTTCATCTGGCTGTGTATCTCTCTTTTCTTAATTTGAATAGAATTCCACAGTATATCAATATGCCACAGGTTTGCTCTTTTCCTGTTGATATGTGCCTATGCTGCATCTTGTGCTTTGCTTCAGTGGATAAAGCTGCTATGAATATTCATGTGAAAGTATTTTTGTGGACATATGCGTTCATTTTTCTTGGGAAAATATCAAAGATCAGCGTATCTGTTGTGTGCATAGATGTATTCCATGAGACTTTATTTTATATTACCTTGACTACTGATATTGAGAACATTTTCATGGGCTTATTGATCAGTTTTCCTTGTAAATTGTCTTGTCTTTTATGTTTAATTGCCTTTTGTTATGTATTAGAGAGTTATCTATTTATTCTGTCCGCATGGTCTTCAGACAATATGTGTTTTATGAATAGTTCCTGCTATGCTATGACTTGTTTATTTACTTTTTGATGCTGTCTTTTGAAAAGAGAAGCTTTTAATTTCAGTAAAGTTTCATGATTTTTTTCTTGAATGTTTAATATTTTTGCTGTTTTTTAAGACGCCCAACATCTCAATGATTATTTTTCTCATTTTTTTCCTGGAACCTTTTTAATTTTAGAGTTATGATCACCCTTTCTATAGTCACTGGTTATAATGTGAAATAGTGTGATTTTTAAAATATGGTTTTCTGCCGTTATTTGTTGAAAAGATTTTTTGGTAGGTCTTGAAGTCTAGTTTCTAGCTCTTGCAAATTTGTTCTTATTTTTCAAGGTAACTTGCGATACTCCTTTACAATTAAACAAATATGTAAGTTTAGAATTAGCTTATAGTTTCCTATTAAACAAGAAAGACAGAAACACACACATACAAACAATAGCGCACACACACATATGTCATGATGGGAAAATTAATTGGGTATTTTTAACTCTGCAGATTAATTAGAGAGAATTGGGATTTAATATTGAGTTTTCCAATTAATAAACATACTATGTTTCTTATTTGGGCATTCTTGAATATGCTTTTCAACAGCATGGTTTTGGAGATTAAACAGAGATATTTTGTGTGGGTGTGTGTGTTGCTAAATTTAACCCTGAGAACTTTTGATTTTTTTAAACCACCAGTTGTCATCAAGTAAGTTTGATTTACAGTAAAATCATGAAACTTTACCGAAATTAAAAGCTTCTCTTTTCAAAAGACAGCATCAAAAAGTAAATAAACAAGTCACAGCATAGCAGGAACTATTCATAAAACACATATTGTCTGAAGACCATGCGGACAGAATAAATAGATAACTCTCTAATACATAACAAAAGGCAATTAAACATAAAAGGTTTAACAATAGAACTATGTTTCACAGGTTGGTTTTTGGTGGTTTGTTTGTTTGTTTTTGCAAATGGTTTCACTGAGCCTTTATTTTGCGGTACCTGCGAATGAATCTTTACAGAAGTATCCAGGAAATTAAAATGTTCATTTTTAATTACATTTGCCAATTGTTTGCCACTAGTAAGTAAAATATAAAATTACCATAAATATTTGCTGATTGTACTGGAACATTGCTAAAATTACTTATTAATTCGAAGATTCTATTAAATGAGATATTCTACATATGTCATCTGACAATATGACCATTGTGCTTTCTCTTTCTCAACATACTAGTTTACTTTCACTCTACTCCCTCCCCCTCCTCCTCTCGCTCTCTTTATATTTCTTCCCTCTCTCTCTGGATATTTTGCACTTAAAGGTAATAAAACAATATTAGGTGGAACCAGGAAGAGACTTTTTGCTTATGCACATTTGCTTATGCACCCATTTGTCTTCAGTGATCCATTCAACACCTCGGAATGGCACATAATTTTCAATCATGTATTTCAATCTATCTCTGTCTGAAAGGAAGCCCTGGTGGTCTAGGGGGGTACATGTGGGCTGCTAGAACCCACCAGCTGTTCCTTGGGGAAAAAAGATTAGCTTTCTACGGCAGCAAAAAGTTGCAGTCCTGAAAACTCATAAGGGCAGTTCTATGCTGTCCTATAGGGTTGCTGTGAGTCAGAATACTCCTTAGAGCAGTGGTTCTCCACCTTCCTAATGCTGCGGCCCTTTCATACAGTTCCTCATGTTGTGGTGACCCCCAACCATCAAATTATTTTCCTTGCTACTTCATCACTGTCATTTTGCTACTGCTATGAATAGGGCAACGCCTGTGAAAGGGCCGTTCGACCACCAAAGGGGTTGCGGCCCCCACAGGTTGAGAACCGCTGGACTAGAGAGTGAGTTATTTCTGAGTGTCTGAAAGTAAGCCCTGGTAGCTCAGTGGTTCAAATGTTCCACTGCTAACCCAGGGGTGGGAGGCGCCAACCCCTCTCTTGGAGAAAGATGAGCAGTTGGCTTCCATAAATATTTATAACCTTCTAGGGCTGCTGCGAGTGGACTAAACGTGGTTTTGAATTTGGCTTATGCACCTTTTTTTAGAATGGATACTATACACTCTTATAAGTTTAAAATCCATTTTGAAAATCACTGACTTTAATTGCTGTGTTCAGTTCATGTGTGTTTAGTTATTAAGATGACTTGTGCATGTGGTCAGAAGACACCAGTTCCTGGAGAAGGACATCCTGCTTGGTAAAGTGGCAGGGCAGTGAAAACGAGGCAGGCCCTCGGCGAGGTGGTTTTAAGCAGTGGCTGCAGCAATGGGCTCGGGCACAGGGCAGCACAGAATCTAGCGGTGCTTCATTCTGTTGTGCACAAGTGTGCTACAAGTAGGAGCCGATTTAATGGCACCTAACAAAAACAACCACAGCAACAACACTTTACTATATTGTTTATATTTATAATCTGTTTTCCCCTCCCCTTCTTCTTTCTACCATTTTTAGAATTCAATAACTTTTAAAATTTCATGTTAATTTGTCAATTCTCACTGCCATCCTGCCATCCCAAATCACAGTGGTCCCATCATATAGCACAGAACAGCCCGGGCGGCTTTGTGAGACTAACTCTCGACCGTATGAGAGCCTCGTCTTTCTCCTGCGGAACGGCCACTGGGTGCAAATGCTGTCCTTGTAGTTAGCAGTCCAACCGGTAACCACTAAGCCCAACTGCCTCTTTACATGTTTAAAAGCTCTGTCAGGTGCCATTCATACGCTTACTTTCATCATGTCCTTAGACGCAAACTCAATGCTGTACCACCTTACAGACAATGTAAGACCTATGTGCTTTGGTGTATGCCAGGAAGACTGAAGATTTATATCTTCATTTTTTTCTGCACCAAGTGGCAATGATTGGCAGATGTTCTCAGCTCGGAGTTATAAAAGTGGAATCCCACCCTAGACTGTTCCGGTGTTCACTGGTTGACCTCTTCTTAGGTCTCTCTGCTTTCGTTTACTTTTGTGTGTCTTTAGGTAATGAATCTGCCTATTTTATTCAGAATATCTAAGGCAGGCTATTTTTATCGAAGGAAGGATTCATCCAAAGAGACTACACTGCCAGTGCTGGAAGGGGAAACTCCCATGCATTTAGTTTTGGATGCTTATTGAACATTGCTGTTTAATTTATTTAGATGCTGAATAACCTTCCTTTCTCTTGTATGCAAAGAGTAATATATTTATGCCAATGGTTTCGCTCTTTATTGGGTTTCACTGATACTGCTGTTCATAATTCATTTTAATATTTTAGTGAACCTATAAAAATAACTAGATGATGAGCAAATTGCCCTATGAAAAATCTGTAGCAATGAAGAGGTATGCGTGTCATTTGTCCTCATTTAAAGCATTTATCTTAAGCTTGAATGCTTTACATCATAGTGTTTCAATGATATATTGTGTTCTGCTAGATAAAGTTAAAACTTAAGAGATGATGCATGTTTAAACAAACAAAACACATCACAAGACTTAAAATGCTAATTTGCTGCCTATTTCAGCGGGTCACTGTGGAATTCCAGAGCTCATTGTTAACGGTCAAGTCATTGGAGAAAATTATGGATACAGAGATACAGTTGTCTATCAGTGTAATCCTGGTTTTCGGCTGATTGGTTCTTCAGTTCGAATCTGTCAACAGGATCATAATTGGTCTGGTCAGCTCCCATCCTGTGTGCGTAAGTAAGCAAGGCAAAAGAAGTGACACACTTGGCTTTCCGTGCAATTGTGTACAGACACACGCAAAAAGTGTGCCTGGACAAAGTCAGAAGCTAAATTCCCACAATTTAGCCTTTTGTGGCTCTGCACTAGTCTCTACCATGTATTCATCAAGCCACCAGTTGATAACTAGAGACCGGATACTGGGAGCAGATAACCTCATCTTTCTCCCCAGGAATAGCTGGTGGGTTGGACCCACCAACTGTGTGGTGATTAGCCCAATGCTCAGCCTATAGCTCTAAGGAACAGGTCTTCTTTAAGATCAGGTGGGAGAAACTATGAATTGTGGAGACTTTAGAAAAAATTACACTTGAGGCTTTTAGTGTGGGTTCTGGGAAATAATTTATTTTGTGATTGTTTTTATCCATATTTATAATTTCCATTATTGTCAAATGTGTATTCAATCAACAGAATTTTATTAGAATTCTGGCTTCATGGAAAATCTTTTGTGTTAGATTTAATAGATTAATATAGCATATAGGTAACTATTCAAATTTCTTTTCTCTCACACACACACGCACACATACGTGCACATTATACACTCACTCAGACTGTCAAATGATTTAAAGACAGCAATATGCGTCTTGCCTCTGCCCTCGATTCCTTCCATTTCATCTATATTCAAGCATCGCCAGATATCACTGTTTTTCTTGTTAAATAATGGAGACTGTAAACGAGAATGGGCCCTCGGGCTGAAGCTGGTTTCTTTATCGATAATTTTAAACAAGAATACGACGCACTTAAATTTCCAAATGAGTAGGTTGACTTTAAGAATAAAACTGAAAAATAATTGCTCTTGGGTCATTTTGAAAAGTACTAAAAGTGACTATGATCTTTCACTGTGGCCAATTATGAAGCACTATTACTGGCGTTGCTCTGATTAATAGAGTAAGATAATACAATAAAAGCACACATAGAAATAGAGGGTTTGGGGAACACCAGCACTACATAAAATCTACAGTAGAACTATAGCATTCAAATAATATAAGTAGTTCATCTAATTAATGTCAGTATGTTTTAAAAATTGTGCTAAATTAACAAACGCTAATAGGAAAATAAAGCAATATGACTGCTTTTGAGACTGATACTGTGGGTTTTCTCACCGTGTTAATGAGAGTATATAATATACAGTATATTAATGTATGATAAAATATATTTAAATTCATATGGTCCACATAATATAATTACATTAATTTATTTTGAAAACATTCTTTTGCTTAAGTATGCATAACTAAATAAAATTGATTACATAAAAGATTAAGTAAAATTTTAATATAACAAATTTCTACATAAAATCTGCATTCAAGGTTTTCTATTCAACTAAATCTTGAAGGTCATTCTTTATTATCTGATATGAATTTGTGATGTCGGCTTCCATTGACTCTTCCCTAAAAACTATTGAAAATTTCACTGATAAAATGAAATTCAAACATTTACATATCATTTGCAGAAATAATAATTGTTTATTATTCTCTATTTACAATATGCTTTGACTATAAGCAAATATATTGAAAATGTGCTTTATTCTTTTGCATTAATAAAAGTTCTTTAAATATATTTATACCTAAAATGAATGATTGCTCTGCTTTATAGTGATTATGCAATATCATGATGTTCATGAAATGACTGATTGGCAAATATTCTTTTCTTTTGGATATTACACACCCCCCGCATCACTGTTAGCTGTTAGCTGTGGGCACCCTGGTAGTCCAATTTACGGAAGAACAAGTGGAAATGGATTCAACTTCAATGATGTGGTAACTTTCTCTTGCAATATTGGATATCTTATGCAAGGACCAACAAAGGCGCAGTGCCAGGCCAATAGGCAGTGGAGCCATCCTCCACCTGTGTGCAAAGGTAAAAGTGAAACTCTCTTACCGCATGGGACATACTAGCAGGATGTCTGTATAAACATCGATGAAAGCATTTAAATAGTTTGGGCAGAGCAGTGGAAAGTGTATAGCCAATAAAAGAAACACTTAATAATTATATGAGCTCAGAAACGAAGCATTCTTTTTTCTCAACTCTTTAATTTTGGGGAGGTAAAAGTGGAAGACTACATTTGTTTAATTTTATTAACCATGATTGCATATAAAACAATCGACATATTTGTGTTGTCATATACTTTATAATTAGTGGAACTCTCATTTGTCATTTATTATCTTTACATATATATTTCCAAAACTACAATTGCTATGATATCTGAATTGAAACTTATTTAATTTTCTCTATAGAAATGGAATGAAATTTGCTTGTTTCCCTAATTTTAAATGTGTGATATATTCATATTATCTGTTAAAATACGAATTATCATTTTTCTTCACTCTTCTTATGGCTTAATTATAATCTAAAAATGATGATTCTCTTCAGTTTTTTACTCAGTATAGGATTGTGGACTTGCAATAGTTTTACTTTGTTCTATACTTTCAAGTACACAGATTTTAGTGCATTGTCTGGAAAGCCCCAATTTGGAAATTTTTTTGGTTAGATAAAATTTATTTTTACACTACTTTTCTGATTATCTAATAGAAATTTAAATAAGTTCATGTGCATTACTTAAAACATAATTTAAAATTCTAATTTGTTTAGTGGTCAACTGTTCTGATCCTGGAATTCCAGCCAATTCCAAAAGAGAAAGTAAAATAGAACATGGGAATTTCACATATGGCACTGTAGTGTTCTATGACTGCAATCCTGGATACTTTTTATTTGGATCTTCGGTTTTGATATGTCAACCAAATGGACACTGGGACAAACCATTACCAGAATGTATCAGTAAGTAGATAATGTGAATTTTTCCTTGAGAAAAACTTTATGCACATTTATGAACCTTACAATCTATTTATCTATATATAAAAAGAACGAATATTGATTTTATTCTTTTATGGCTTTGAATCTTCTCTTCCCTCTACTTGGTCAATTTGATGCCTAGGAGCCATTTTTCTCAATATTAATATAATGGATAATTCTCATTCTTAAAATTTGAATTTTAAAGAATATGAGATAAAATATTACATAGTATATGGTATTTCTGTCTCTTGAAAGGAAGCTACATTTAAAATATACCTTTTGTACAAATATTTCAAATTTTATTACAGTCAAATTAATTCAATGTACACAATCTATACAACTTCAGCGTATTTGAAATTTAGACAAAGGGGTCACTTAAAACTTAATGAATTTAAATATTGGCATCGTGCAGACAGATACACATGTTGTTCATAATCATCAACATTAAAATTAGGAAATACTTAAGGAGTCAGCATTTTGTTATATATTGTATGAGTAGTTGTAGAAGATAATGAGCAGCTAAATTACATAATTAGCACATATAGTGAGAAAAATATGTTAATTGAAATAAGTCAAAATTCTGTCAAGACACAGAAAAGTGAATCTAGATTCTAGGAATTCTGTCCACTGGTATGACAAGATAAGATAGAGGATATGTCTCAAAGATTTGCTGAATCTTGAACATAATACACTAAAAAGCAAACTCACTCCCCTTGAGTTGATGCTGACCCATAGCATGCCTGTAGAACAAGGTAGACTGCCCCTGGGGGATTCCCAGACTAACTTTTCAAACACAGATTTCTTTGGTTACAATTCACATGCCATACAATTCAATAGTTCAGTTACACCAAGAATGGTACAATCATCACTATAATCAGTTTTAGAACACTTTATCAAAGCTCATCCGCGGACACCAGACACAGGAGCCCCGGACTGGCTGGGGCTCTTCCAGACTCCTCAGCGTCTCCCCGATTCGTTAGAGAAGTCTGGTGCTGTGCTGAGTAGGAGACAGGAGGAGGAGTGGAATGGAGTGAAGGGTGAGTGGTGACCAGAGGCGGAGGCTTCAGCCTGCCAACGGCCCAACAGGACGGCCAGTGGAAGTTCCACCCTGCCCTGGAGGGCCGGCCGGCCTGCCTGCTAAACTTGCTGTCTTTGAGTTCTCAACCAAGACCGGTCCGGAGGCCCTTGGCTTTTCAGTTCAGGCGTGGGGCATGAAGGATTGTGTCTGCAGCCTTCTAAGAAGTCCATGACTGTCCTAGAGAAACAGAAGATTTGGTAGTTTTCAAAAAGTGAGAAAGGAGGGGTGATGCGGAGAGAAAATGGTTTCCAAGCGCCCTGTCTGGAGACGGAACGGTCCAGTCGTGGTCACCGTGGTTGCCTACATAGCAGTGGCTCCGGTGAAGCAGCTGGCTTCATCCATGTTGTCTATTTCTCCTTTTCCAGCTGATTAACAGACTGCAGAAGACAGCCCCCTAGGCATTTTAGAGGCATCCGCCACCCCACAGAATAAAGGCAGGGCTCAACTTGGTCTCAACCTCATTTGCATAAGAGACAAGTCCTTCCCTGTCCAGGTATGGAGGGGTGCTGGTGCCCAAGACTCCTCTGCATCACAGCCAACGAGAACATTGACTTCGTCACAAAGCCTTCCTGTGCCTGAGTCAGGCATGGTGCCCCAGGCTCTGATCTGTCCCCGCCTGCATATGAGGACAGCCATACCGTATCTATTGAGGGCTTCAATGCTTGCAGCCGAAGTTACCAAGGCCACCGGCAGTGTCCCCGCTCCCATTCTCTCTCCATACCCCACACCCTCCCCTCGGCTGTTTCTGTGAAAACAGTTGGATGCCTCTTCCCCAGAAACCGAGTATTTAAGCACACAGGGGCCCTTATAAGAAAGAGTAGCCTGGGCAGAGGAACCTCCACCTGCAGAGCACACAGAGACTGGGGTACGTAGTCTCGTGCAGGCCCAGAAACGGAGGCCTTGGATGTGACCAGCCATGGGGTGGTTGGTAACCAGAGGTACAGGCAGTGGGGACCAAGGGTGATGCGACAGCAAGAGGCCAAGGTCCCAGTATCAGTGTCTTACCAGTGTCTTTAAATGATATTATGGAAAAAAAAAAAAAAAGAACACTTTATTTGTTCTTATATTCATCATTAGTATCTCCCCATTTTCCCAGGGGTCCTGGAGCAGAAGTAGAGTAGAGGAAAATGACTGTATAGACTAAAATAGTACATCAAGAAATCATTTAGAAAGTAAAATAACTTTTGGTTATACTAGAATTTCTAATTTGTCAAGTTATATGAACATGCACTATGCAGACTTTTTTATGTTCATGATATGAGCATTTATGAAAATTTGTGACAATATTGATGTAGAGAAGAAGTGTTAATTTAGGATGGCTCTTTAAATTTCTAGATACTTTGCAAATAATTTAATCAAATATTGACTCCTTGAAAATCATTTGAGTGTCTTTTGTAGACTTAGTAGTCCAATTGAATAATTCAGTGACTGGACCTTATGTAACTTCAACATTATATTTGAACTGTATACTTTTTGTAGGAAATGTGAACATGTGGTGTTTTAGGATTTCTTAGCTTTCGTATACGTTTTGCCTCTTTATTATCACCTTTAGCACTCCCCAGTGGTAGGTTAAGTTTATTGCCTCTTGTGTTTTGCTTAATACTCTGTCTAGAGGTATGTTGAATTCAATCATTTTTACCAATTATAGTTAAGAGTGTACACATTAAATTCCCAAGCCACTGCTAGCTTAGATAGATCATTCTGTGATTGTGATATCAGACACTGCCTATGAGTAGGGCTTTTCTTTTTACAGCATAATTATTCATTAATGAACGGAGTTGGAATTATTCTATTACAGACTCTATTGTATGACACTATCACATCGTCATTACCTCTCACCCACCAATAAAATCTTTCCTACTTTTATAAACTCTTTTTGAAACCAACATGGCATTTTTGGTTGGGCTGGGATCCTAACTGGAAGGCCGGTAGTACAAACCCAGCAGCTACGTCATGGGAGAAAGATGAGGCTGCCTTGTTCTGTAATGATTTACAGTCTCAGAAATCCTGTTGCAATCCCACGCTGTCTTGACTCAATGCAATGGGTTTGCATTTTTATGGCAACATGTGTCCTTATTAAAGCAGTTCTCATCATTCTTCATCCTAATTCCACCCATCTTTGTTAAGAAATGGGAACATATACATAATCACAGACATTTACTGCTCTCAAACATACCGCTGGGTCTGAGTCAGTCATTTACTTTTACTTAGTTTATAACATGACTGTCAGACATATCCTTAGGGTGTATGGATTACCAGAATACCTAGTATCATGGAAAACTTGGTTAATTTTAAAACGCCAATTATATTATATATATTTGATCGTTGGAAGTGTTACATGTTTGAGCAACAAACTTACTTCTGTTTTATTTTATAAATGTGTTGGTACAGGTTGTTCGATAGGAGATATAAAAAATTGTATATTCAATAATTATGTATTGTAGTGATTGACTGTGGACACCCTGGCGTTCCTCCTAATGCAGTCCTGTCTGGTGAGAAGTATACCGTTGGGTCTACTGTTCACTATTCCTGCACAGGAAAGCGCACCCTTCTAGGCTCGTCATCAAGAACTTGCCAATTAAATGGCCATTGGAGTGGCTCACAACCTCATTGCTCAGGTACTCAGTGGAAAAATTGGATATTGTGTGTGGAAATTAGAGTAGCATTACTAGGATTTGTGCCTGAGCAAGTCATACATTTATCTTATAAAAATCTCACGGTACAGCTAACACCATGCTTATACATTTGCTGGAATACATTTAAGGAATTTTAGAAATAAGATAATATAAATTAGAGGAAAATTAATACCAATTGTATGGATGATAAATTACAGGTATATGTTTTTAATTCTGTTAGGTGTTTTAAATAATGTAAATAATTAGGTGGTTTTAGGATGCTATTCTGTGTAAATTCATTTGCTCATTAAAATATTTAAACCAGTCACACTTAAGTAGTTATTCAATTTTAGCAAATATAAAATATGTGTTTCTCTAGGAGGCGATCTTATGGAAGTGGTTCTATCAGAACTCTGTTAGAACTCTATTAGAGTTTAGTTATATTTGACTTTGAAATAAATGATGAATAAAGAAGACCAAAAAATGGCATATTGGATTGATGGAGTGGGCTAAGAATATTGGATACACTGTGGGCTTCCAGAGGAATTAACAAATCTGTCTTTGAATAAGTAAGACCATAACACTTTCTAGAAGTGGGGGTAATACACATTGTTGTCGTTGTCTGCTCCCATCCAGTCAGTCCCCAACCGTATGCAAAACTCAAAGAAACCCTGCACAGTCCTGCACCATCCTCACGATTGTCCTTGTGCGTGAGCCTCTGGTTGCAGGCACTCTCTCAACCCATCTGGTGCAGGGCCTTCCCCTCTGCCCATGGACGTGACCAAACATGGTGCCCTTCTCCAGGGACTGGTCTCTCCTGAGAACATGTCCAAAATGCATGAGATGAATTCTCACCGTCCTCGTCTCTAAGGAATATCCTGGCTGTAGTCTCCGGAGTTCGGTGTGTTAGTTCTTTTGGCATCTATGGGACGTTGACTATTCCTTCCCAGGAACTTACTTCAAACACATTGATTCTTCTCCCTTACTCCTGTCAACTTGGAAAAGGCTTTCAATGACAAACATACACAAGGGGACCTATTCCGTCTTTGTAGTCTGTTCTTAATCTTGAAGCTACACTGAAATCTGCTCACTGTGGATGACCCTGCGGGTAATTGAAATCCTGGTGATGTGGCTTCCTCAAGGGGACTCATGCCACCATGGTACATCAAGCTGACAGATGCGTGGTGGCGAGCCCTCATCTGTTAGTGTGTACAACTGTTATCCATCTGAAATCTTGTTTTCCTTTTCGTTTTATTGATGAAGGAGAAAACAATGTTGAGTATTTCCTCTCGAAGCTTTATAAGAAAAAGATATCAGATATTAAGAACATTAATTTCAGTACCCTTTAGTTGCTCTTAGATTTTAAAGCTATTTTTCATATTTATACAGTAGATAGGATACAGATAATCATTGAGTGGCCCCATTATCTATTAATTCCACAATTGGTGAATATAAACTAAAACCAAACTCACTGCTGTTGAATATATTCTGACTCCCAGTAGCCCTCTAGGACAGGGTAGAACTGCCTCATAGAGTATCGATGGTTGTAAATTTATTAGCAATAAAAACATGCTAATAAGCTTGTTGAAGGCAATTGTCTTTCCTTACTTTCTTTGTTATTAATAGGCAACCTGGAACTCCTGACTCCCTACAACTTGATAAAGTTATCTTTAAATAAATGAGTAGTAAGACTTTAAATATGAACATTTTATAATAATAATTTTTTTTAATTTATCTGAGATATTGGAGCCACAGCACCTTTGGTCAAGGATATCTGGCAGAAAGAGTTATAGGGAGAAATTTGAGGCTATAGAACATAGCATTGATACTTTCTAACACAATACAATCCTAGTGAGAAAAATGAATCTTACATAGTCAGGAAATTCAGAGAACAAAGATATAAATATTCATATCTTATGGCTACTTTAGTAAGGTTTAGTGTTATAGATTCAGTGTCATTTATCATTGTCATTTGTCATACAGTTTGTTTAATTTACACACTAGGTTAATCATTAAGTAAGCTCTAGAATGTCCTTAACCTTTTTAATTGCAGTAACATTTACTAATAGAAAATAACACTTCCAACAACCATTAACTAATTACTGTTAATGAATGAATTTTAACTGTGCTGAATTTCAGGTGATGCTACTGGGACGTGTGGTGATCCAGGCACTCCTGGCCATGGCTCTAGACAGGAAAGCGATTTCAGAACCAAAAGTGCCGTGCGTTTTGCTTGTGAGACCGGTTATACCCTTCATGGCTCAGAGGAACGAAGATGTTTAGCCAATGGTAGTTGGACTGGGAAGCAGCCCGAATGTAAAGGTAAGATGAGAGGAGAGGCCTCTACAGAAAAGGATAGACCTTAAAACCTTATCATAGCGATGCTTGTTATAAAAGGCGTTCCTTTTGTAAGATGATGTCTTGCAAATACTAACCTAGCAATGGTATTTATGTAGCATACTTGATACTGTACTGCCTTTATGAAATAGGAGAATCATTCCCAATCGAATCATCTTAGCATTTCTGATTGATACACAGTGTAGAAACTCCTTTACTGTGTTCAAAATTAATATGCATATTCTAGGAAAGATAGAAAGTTAATGCTTTCTACTTTAGATGGATTTTAGTAGTCTTAATATAGAGCAGGGGCTCAGTTACCCATTATATGGGGGAGGGAGTTGGAAAAGATAGCTGTGGAGAAAAATATGTCATATACAAATATTCTGCTGAGTCAAATATAGAAAATAATATTCACTTTACTTCTTGATCTCCCTTTTCAAAGACAAAAATCTCTGTACTGATGCTCTCTAGTCCATGGGTAATAGCTAAGTCAGTTCTTTATTCAACTGACCTAGAAAAATATTTTGTAGCTAAAGTACAATTGGTACTGCCCCTGATTTGGTAACATGCACATTAAAGGTAATAGAGAATCATGAATGGTAGCAAATATAATAAGATTTATATTATCTCAATTGTGCAACTTATAATCAATTAGCAAATATAGTGTGCTAGTAGATGAGTGGACAGAAGAAATGTCAAAAATACAAGATATGAAATACATAGGGAAATGTAACATAGCTACAGATTAGAAAAATATTGTTAACACGGCAAGGCATCCATTTCCTCTGGTTAAAAAATGGTAATATGATACTCTGGTTGGACCCAACCAAAGTAGTACTTTAAATTATCTCTAGAAATAATTTTATTGTTATAACATTTGGTGAGAGCAGCTTGACAAAATTGTACCAACTTCATAGAATATGGCCATTTCTTTGCTTTTTTGCTTGAAACATTAAAATATTCAGAAAATCATTGTTATGAAGAGCTTTTGTTTCTTTTTTTTTTTTCTTTTGTTTCTTTTTATATATAACTAGTAAGAATTAGAAATAAGTGATAATCCCAGGTAAAATCTTATTAAAATTTTGTATATTTACATGAAGTAATATTTTATAGTCAGTAAAGTGTTAGAATCAGTTCCATGAAGCAATCGAAAGAAAATCAAGTAAAATGCAATAAAGAATAAGATTCTAAATGATGCACTCTGTTAACATCATGAGAATGATATCCATTTAAGAGGAACTAGGAAAGGAAGTATATAAAAGTCCTAATAGAGTTGAACGTCGAGGGTAGAATTCTTTTCACTTTTTTCTGATTTTTTAAAGTTTTTTGGCACATAACCCACTTATCATACAATTACTTCTAAACATACTGTATTAAATAACTTAGAGTAAAATATAAAACTATCCAATAATTAGATAGAATTCTGGTAGAAAAATAAATTAATATATCAAACATGTGTTCAGTAATCTGAAGTTTTGGCACATGATCAATTTTTTAAAAATGATGGTATCTGGTGTTGGACAGGATGCGTGAATGCATGAAAACATATAAAGCACAAACACATGCACAGCATCACTCGTAATAAGAGGCAGAATGAGATCCTTAAGCAACAAGGTTTATAGATGGCACTTTCTATAATTATTCTTGATATTCTTCAAGAAAGCCTTGAACTGCATATAATACAAAAATGGCCTCTGATAACAAGGAGTATTGCCAACTTAATAAACTTCCTTTACCTTTCATGGTAAATAGCTAGACAACATGTATCATAGTTCATCATAAGGAGCAATTGACGCTTATAGCTCCTGTTGAAAACTTGTGAAAATCATTACTAAAACTTAGTTCCTTAACTTGTATTCATTTAATATGTGTACATCTTGGTTTACAAATAAAGATTATCATGTTTTGATACTGATCCACAATATGCTTATATCAATAACATATGTGTGCTATTTCTTGTCTTAATATCTAGTACTGCTTTAAGAAAAAGTCAGTAATTTTAACAAACAGAAATTTATTTTCTGATCTTCTGGAGGCTAAAAATCCAAATAAATATCTCAGACATACCAGTTCTGTTGGTGACATACTTGCCTAATTTCTGGTTTCTGAAAATAAACTTCTGCATCCGTGCCTTGGCTGTCTGTTATCTCTTTCAATAATTCAGAAGTGAGTCACCCTATACTCATAGGACCACACTAACATAACAAAAGAAAACCCCTCTTTCTAAACAGGATTACATCTGTAGACACTAAAACCCAAACCAAACTCAATACCATGAAGTCAATTATGACGGAAGGCAACCCCAGGTGATAAAATGAAGTACTGAATTTCATAGGGTTTTCAAGGCTATAATCTTGAGGGAAGCAAGTACTTAGGACTTTCTTCCCAAGTATGAGTGGGCAGGGGCAAACCTCTAACATGTTGGTTAGTATTGAAGAGCAGGTAATTTGTGTCACCGTGCTACCAAGGAACCTTCCCCAGGGCAAGGAATTTGAAACATATATTGAGAGGGAAAAATTCCATTCTTAACACGGATATTTCAATAATCTATTTGATTTTATACCTCTGGGAAAACGTTACAGAATAAATCTCATGTTTATCACATTATTGTTACACATCTTCTGATTCTATTTTATTTTTTTAAAAAGGAAAATAATTTATAATTTTTCTCTCCAATTTTTGTGGCACCCAAAGGCAATGCTCATTAGTAATTATTCACTTTTTAAAGTTTTTAACAAAGCTACCAAAAAAATGTAAAAGCAAAACAGAGAAAGCTATTACATGATTTGAATTCTTAGTAATTAAACTAATAAAATGAGCCTAACTGTATCTTCCTTTTTTACCACTTATGAAAGATAGTTCATTTCTTAATTTTGATGGTTATAGAGTTCCTTCAGACAATGTTAAGTATAATTTAGTTGTTATTTTTTTATGAGAGGACTCCTAATGGCAGTATTTTTTATATGCTCTTAATTATTTTTATTTTATAGCCGTGCAGTGTGGTAATCCAGGAACAACTGCCAATGGGAAAGTCTTTCGAATTGATGGCACCACATTTTCTAGTTCGGTCATTTATTCCTGCATGGATGGCTATATCCTTTCTGGACCTTCAGTGAGACAGTGTACAGCCAATGGAACATGGTCTGGAAGTCTACCTAACTGTACCAGTAAGTTTCTTCTAAGTATTCTAAGTACTTTTAAGTGTTACTATTTAGTTGAAAATATTGATAAGTTTAAAAAATAAGTGCATAAGTTTGGAAATGAATGAAAATATGCATTTGTTAATACCTGTATTGCGTTTCAGAGTAATAGAGCTGTGGTTAGAATATGTACCATTGATTTGCAGTCCAGTCAATTCTAGCTCACGGTCGCCTTAGATAAGAAGGTGGAACTGTCCATCAGTTCCCAAGTTTATTACAGCAGACAGTTGTCACTTTCTTCTATGGAGTGGCCGTCTGCCAGGGTTTCGGTTTGCAGCAGTGTTTAATGAACCGTTATACCCTTGGAGAATTTCGTGCTTCCCCTAGTGACTAAAGAATTAACTTGCGATTACTAGGGGGAGGCAGGACAGAGAGGGAAGGCTGTGAGGACACTGAACTTATAGGACACAATGTTTATATGATTTTGAGCTTCTGTTAAGGGGGATGGAAAATTTCAGGAATGGTGATGGTTGAAAAACTTGAAGACTGAACTCAATGCCCCTAAATTGTCCATGTAAAGACTGCGGAGACCGTCATTACCTTAGGAGGTCCTCAGAGGTGATCCGCCCTCTTGAGAGGGTAAAAAGTATGACACGCTAGAGATTGGGCATTATAATGAAATTACTCATTTCAAAGATATTTAAAAATGTTCCCAATTATTTTTTTTTTATTTTATTGAGCCAGAACCCTGGTGGTAGAGTAGCTGTGTGTAGGGCGGCCACTCTTGTGGTCAACAGTGGGAAACCACAAGCAGTGCCATGAGAGAAAGACTGGCCGTTCTACTCCTATAAACAGTTACCATCGCAGACATCCACAGGAGTCACTATGAGTCAAAATTGACTCAATGGCTGTGAATTTGGAGTTACTGAACTATAATTAACATCATAAAGTCACATCATATCAAGAAAGTTGTGCAATCATCAATCATTGCTACAATCAACATTGGAACTTTTTCTTTCATCTTATACCCATGGATGTTGACTCCTCATTGCCCCCACTTTTCCCTTCTGTGTCCCCAGGGGATCATTAATCCGGCTAATGTCTTCATAATTCCACCCATCTTGGTTTCTTTGTGCAGATAAATGTCCTCCACAAAGGCAAACAACAAAAAAGGATAGAGAAAGATTTTGATCTTAGAGAAAGCAGAGAATATTAAACTTTTAGAATAAATTCACATTGGGTCTCCAGGGAGCTCAGTTGACAAGGTGTTACATACAGCGGCTAAGATTCGCTCTCTGGGGCTCTCTGTCTGGTATTGAGGCGATTCACATTCCTAGTTTATAGACATTAATGAGTCACCCGAGATTCAGTCCATGTAGGGATCCTGAAAATAGATTTTGGGATTCCTCTGTCATCTATAACTTTCCAAAAATTATGTGCTTAGAATTTCGCCACTGGTACCTTTCCATTCTCCGAATTTGGATCCTGGTATTTACTGTCTTTGGATCGCACTGGCAGATAGTATTCTTCAGAGTGGACTCAACTGACGCCTCACTTGGATGGCTGCTTGTTTTGAAAAAGCTTTTAAGACCCTAGACATGGTTTTCCAGATAGACACGCACCACCTGATTTCTTCACACACTTTTCTATGGCACCCATGTCTTCAGCGATGTCCTCAGGAGGGTGAATACCAAGAAGGGCCCAGTAATAAGACCTACGTAATTGTTCTTATATTACGGCTGCAATCAAGTCAAAGTTCAAAATCTGTTCATATGATTAATGTTTCTCTAAGTCCCGGGTTCACTTTTAGAGATATCATTGTCATTTTATGGTAGTACATTATAAATCATCCCCATGGTGCTTGACGTAATGTTATTGATAGTAACATTATTTTGGTCAATGATAAAGCACTGGTGAGCAAAGATTTGTATACACGTGTAAGACTTCTAATTAGACCCAAATACAGGAATTGTTAACTTGCATATCTTCAAAACCTAGGTGACTGGACACTTAAGGTGACCAGATTTTAACATTTGTAAAGCGGGACACCATTGATAAAACCCATATCCTGGCAAAATAGCCACATGGCAGCTGAAAACCGTATACCCTAGCTTGTCATGCATTCTTTCCAAAACTTGGGAATTTTTTAAAACGCCGCGGTACACAGGAAAAATTGTTCAAAAGCAGGACGTCAGGTCACCTTACACTAGTTACACATGCCATGAGGGCTGGAGATCCGGCAATACTTATAGTAACACTCACTTAGGAAAGCAGAGACATGCCTGGCAGACTAACACTGTCATAGAACGGCAGAGAGAGCATGAAAATGGCAAATATATCTTGGTTTGGGGTCCCTATTCATTGGGTACCTCAGAGCAATAGATCCAAATCTACCCAAAATCTAATAATCTTTTGCTTCTTTTCCCACGATGGCATTTCTGCTTAATGTTCAAGGGAATATTTCTGTTCCCTGGTTCTGCTATAATTAAATTCAAAGTAGAGTATAGTTCACTTAATGAGGTTTCCAATTTAGGCTCTTCTGGTATGGTCCATGTAGGGTGTTGTGTTTAGCAGAAGGACAGGCCAATGGCAGAGTTGTCTATAGTACATTGCCTGAGTCACCAGGGATTAGCTAGGAACTATTTCAAAAGTGCCCAATTAGAGCCATAATGCAGAGCCCATTCCCCCCCGGGGGTTCTACAAGCACTGTTAAGCATTTTTCTCAATGGTGGGGAGATTCTTTTGCTTTTTGGTCTGTAGTCTGAGAAATTGTCTTTGAGTTTACTGATTCTAATTTCCTTTTCTTCCATTGCAATTTCCAGATCTCTTACTGTGTTACTGATCTCTGTTATCTCATTGTTTATTTTCTGATATTCCTGTGGATGTGAAGTTTTTAGTTTCTCTGTTTAGTCTGTTTTTTGTCATTACTCTTTCCCATATCTTTGGAAGGGTCCTGAATATAATTCTTTTAGATTCTATTTCTGGTAGTTCCAGAAAATCTTTTTCAGAGTTTCCCATTGGTCTTGGGTACTTTCAGTTATTTGATAGTTTTTCTTGATTTTGGGCGGGGGCATGGCAGTTGACTGCTGTTTTCAAGGCACGTGGATGGATCTGTTAGTGGTGTGTGGAATATTGGGTGTGTATGGTTAATTGATTTTTGGAGTTAATGGAGAGTGTCGAAGAGGAATGAAATATCATGGTGGAGAGATTAAGAAAATGGGAGAGAGTTAGAATCTGTGGAAGGGGGAATAAGTGAAAGAATAGGGTATATTCATAATAGTAGTAATAATGAGTGCGCTTGTGGATGTTGGGGGGTGGGGGCCTGTTTAAGAAGTCTAGTAAGACTTAACAGTTAGCATGGAAGTGTATTCACTAGGAGTGGGAGGAGGACAAAAGTGGAAGGAGATGGTGGGTTGGGCAGAAGATTGTAAACAAATAAGCAGCCCAGGAAAAGGGATTCTGTATAATGGATTTAAAAACACTATGATGGAAGCAGGGAAAAGAAAGGAGGACAGGAAAGAACAAGAAGGTGAGGGGAAGCAGAGAATAAAGGAAGTTAGGGGGGGGGGTAATAAAAAATAGAAGCTTGGATTGGGTGTTGTTAAGTCCTTTTCTTGCTATGGTAGTATACCCATGGGTGAATCCAAGCTCTTAAGGGAGTGAGTTCACGTACGTCTGTCTGGGAAGCTTTTCTGCCCACAGATGGACAGCACCACTGGAAAAGGGGTGAGAAAGTTGTTTAAAGGGAAGAAGAGGTAGAGGAAGTCAAGAAAATGTTGACTCAGTGGCAAAAGACTTCTTGGCCATGCGGGACTCTGGGCCTGGCTCCCAAGTAGTCCATCGCCCACATTGTGCTCCCAGAAGGCAGCATGCGGTGAGGGGCTTGGCTGTGTGGGTTTGGATGGGGTTTAGGAGATCCTGTTCTTGCTGGTAAAAAAATATATGGTCGGAAGCAGCTAGAGTTTCTGATCAGTGGTAAGAGCAGAGGCTGGTGAACTCCATCTTGAAAGAGAGGAATCTGGTTGGTGTGGGTGTGTTTGCCTGTGCCTGCTTGGGAGGAACTCACAGTCTCCAGGGTGGGTAAGACCCATGAAAAGAGGCCTTGGGAGCCCCCCAGAATTGTATTCATTGTCAATCAAATAAAAGTACAGTGAAAACACCTTGAAGCAAAGACTAGACGTGGGAATGGTGTGAGGACTGCCTGAGACACAGTGGGCGTGGTTAAGGATGTCTGCTGCTATGGAGCATGAGCATGCGTGGCTCTGTGTCCTCTGGCTCCAATGAGGGAGTCTGTGCCAGCTTCCTCAACCCGTGCCCTAGACACACAGGTCCCTAGGGGGTGCCGAGGGTGGGGGGGGCTTGGCTGTGTGGGGCCCTACCCTTACCAGGGCCTGGGTGGTGGTGCTCTGGAGAAACCAGAACTGTGAGTCAGTTCTGAAAGACAGGAATCTAGCTTGCGTGGATTGGGCTCCCTTTGTCTGTCTGAGAGGTACGGGCCTCCTCGGGGGCGTGGGGCCATGGGAAGAGGAGCCCCTTGGAAGAGAAATTATGGGAGCCTGAAAGGGATGTGGATCCTTGGACAATAAAATAAATGTAAAATGCAATAGTTGAGGGTACAGAAACATGCCTGGGGTTAGGTGGGGAGTACCATCTCCTTACTTCGGACAGTCCAGGGTGTGGGAGGGAGGCGGGCACAAAGGAGGAAGCACCCGGGACAAAGAGGTGAAGGGAAACTTGGGAGGCAGCTAAGTGAGCCACGCTGCCCCAACAACCCATCCTCCTCACGGTGTCGCCAGGGGACAGCAGGGTGAGGGCTTGGCTAGGCTGGCTGGCAAGGGGATGGTGATGGCTTAACTCCCCCCAAAGGACAGGGGCAGGATGGAGTGGCCCAACCTTCTGCCACTGCTGGTGGGGAGTGGGGGTTGGTGGTCAGAAAAGCTCAGTCTTTGTTAGTGAACTTTGACTTTCTCAAGAAAGAAAACCAAAAAAGACAAAACAAAGCAAAATCAAGCAAACAAAAGAAGTTG